AACAAAACTTCCAGAACATGGCCACACAGCCTGGAAGACCCACACCAGCCATCCTAACTCCAGGTACATCACCTAGCTTCCCCAAAAGTTGCCAGCAAGTCAGAGGTCTAGGATTTCCTGTCTTGTAGCCCCCAACTTCTAAAATCATTGCTTTCCCATTGTTCATTGTTTCTTGTAAAGCAAGCACCCAATGATCATTGCAATAAACATGGTTCCTTCTCCTCAGTGTTATGCTCTGTACTTCTGAATTTTCCATGTCAAGGTATATTGTAATGTTGGAAGTGGATCAATGAGTGGACATGATAGTCAGGAGACAAAAAGCCTCACACCAGCAACATTTGGAAAATAATGTGATATATAGTAGTTTCTAGGACAATGCTAGCAATTGGAGGAATTAGACTACTTAATTGCAAACAAATGCATTGGTAAATATATGGCCTTGTGAGGCCCCAGCACTATTGCCCTATAGAAGGACTTAAAAATGTGATTCTTCCTGTAGGCACTTGGCCAGGAAGATGCACAAACCTGCTAGAATGTTGCACTGTTTGTGTGTGTGTGTGTGTATGTGTGTGTGTATTTCTCTATTTCTCTGTTTCGGTGTTTTAATGTTGTAGGTTGCCCAGAATCACTTGTCAAGTGGGCAGACTTAGAAATTCAATTAATAAATGGACTGAATGAATAAATAGTGATATAGTAGAAACCCAGTAGAATGGAGAGACTTGGTGGGATACTGTCTGTGCTGGATACAGATTTTATAGAAAGGATAGGGAAGCATGCATTGGTGAGGTCTTGCTTTTTATATCAAGAAGAGTACAAAAGCTAACATACTAGTATGCAAATACCGTGTTAATCTAATTCTGCAGTCCAATATTTAGGACAGATGGTGGAGGAAAGAACTAAGTATTACATAGAGCTGACAACCCTAGCCCAAGATATTCATTCTGTCTCTAATTTCCTTGGAAGTTTATTTCTGGGACTGTTCTTTTTATCAAGTCACATACGTATTCCACTGATTTTAAAAACTTTTTTGAAGAGATGCTAATTAGCAGCATTTGGCTCTGTAAGTCAGAATTCTTACTTTAGGTTTCTCTGATTTGTGTGACTTTGGGCAGTGAAGAGAAATGTCTGTGTATTTCTACTCAGCAATTCTGCTTCCTAGATCGTAACTGCTGACTTGCTTTAGAAAATATTTCCTTCTCCCATTGTCAGCAGTTTAGGGTCCGCTGTAAGCAAAGGATCAAACTGAGAGTTTGTTCCCTTCTGCTCAGTCACCACCAACAAAAAGAAAATGTTAAGAACATCAGCTGTTGGGTCACAGATAGTTGACAGAGGTAGAACTAAGGTATGATTTTGTCTTGCAGGTTATGCTTTGCTTATCAGGATGACCCTGTGGAAATAAATCCAGGGAACCAAAGAAAAGAGATTATGTTGTTTTTTTATAGATGGATGGGTGAGGATGACATAACATGAAAGTCAAGGGAAGAAGCAAGAACTCATTCTAGAATTCCAGCATAGTGTAGTGGTTAGTGTTGAAATAAGGCTGGGAAGGCCCAGGTTCAAATCCATGTGTATTCATAAAGCTCACAGAGTGACTTTACCAGTATCTCTCAGCCTAATCTACTACATAGAGACGTTGTGGAAATAGCAACATAGAGGGTAGGCAGCAAAGCATTCTATATTGAACAAAAGTGGAATATAACTGTAATAAATTAATAGGAACTGTGACATGTGAGCTGTGGGTTCATATCTCACCTCAGCTACAAAATCAGTGGCTAAGCCACAACAAACCAACCCACTTTATAGCTTACAACAATGTATGAACCAGCCAATGCCTGATTTTTGCACCACATGCTAATCGTAACACTAGGTTTACAAGCATCATATTACCTATTCATGCAGAGCTCTTTAACTGAGTTTTCAATTTCCTTAATCGTAGTTCTCTGAAAACTATACCTTGTAACATAAACTTATGGTTATAAACTCCAGCTTCTGAAGACTCAGGATGGCAGTTATTTCAGGTTTGCACTGTCAACATGAAGCCAAGACCCCATGCAACAGGAATAATACAGCGGGGTGGATGTATTAAGGAACTGAGCTTTACATTTAGCCTTTATAGGCAGTAAAGAATTACTGCATAAATGCAGAGGGTTTAGTGTCTGTTAAGGCACTATATAAGAATAGGGAATGTATAAATACTCTTTCAGCATAATATTTGATGCACAACTGCACTCTTAAAATCTGCAGATCTTTATGAATAAAAGTTGGGGCAAATGAAGAATAGCCACAGAGCACTGACTCAGCCTGCAGAGCAACTGCTTCTCTAATTAGACTAATTAAGTCCGATTGTGTCTACAGCAGAAGATCTGAGGTTGCACTGAAGGCCTGCTGGGACAAAAAAGCAATGGCTGCTTTCCCTTTGAAAATACAAAAGGTGACAGTTATATCTGAAGCTGACTCTGGTGGAGATTTGGCCATCTTAGTCTCTCCTGGACAAAATAAAGAACAGAATTAAATGAAAACCTTGAGCATTCTTGAATTTATAACCTGTTAGTTAAAATCAATACATTTAAACCAGGCTGGCCTAATGGTCATAGGAATCCCCCATCCCCTTCCCCCCTCCTGCCAACATGGTGAATTGTTCCATTTTTCTTCTGGTACATTCTTGAGAAACTCAAATAAATTTGAGAATCATGAAGAAGAGGAATTTTTGATAAACCCAGCTTATCATGCAGGAGTCAGAAAAACTGCTAAAATACACAGATTGTTTTTATATAGGGTAGTCTCACTGAATCCTCCCCAAATCCTGCTGTCTTTGAATTCCTGGGAGGGATGAATGATAAACGCCAGAAGTGGATTCCAAGAGTTTATACTTGTCACCCAAGGTTTGACAGTCATCTCAGCTGCCCAGCTAAAGCAAGCAGGCACTTATATTGGGTCGCAGCGATATAGGAAGATGCTAGAAGTGGATGGTCACCTTAGTGACAACAGCAAAGGCATCATTTCATATTGCAAGGGAGAAGATAATGGTAAGCTACTCCTGTATTTTGCCGAGAAAGCCACATGGATAGACAATATAAAATGACTGATGATATAGTGTTAGATGATGGGCTTCTGTTTGGATGGCACTCAACATGCTGCTGAGGAAGCGCTGAAGATTTTTCTGAGTACTGATGGTGTTTATGATGTGGCTAGATTAAAGCCTTCAGGACATCTAGTTGATGATGGCATGCAGGAAAGGAAAATACAAAGTTGCAAACGGAATTATAGTGGAAACATGGAACATAAGAAGCATCAACATGGGAAAGCTCAAGACAGTGAAAGAGGAAGTGAATTGATTATGCATTGAAATCTTAGGCATCAGTGAGCTGAGATAATCTAGAATTTACTACACAGAACATGAGAAACAAAGAAGGAATAGTATTGCCTTTAGAGGTAGGAAGGGTATAGCAAGAATAGTACTTGGCTACAATGGAATCAATGACCAAATAATATCAATTAGACATCATGAACTACCCTTTAATATGACAACTGTCACAGTTAATGCTCCAACCACTGATGCAGAAGAGGAAGTTGGTGAGTTTTATGACCAAGTTCAGAATGAAATCAACAGAACATGTCGGTAACATTTGCTGTTTGTGGTTGAAGACTGGAATGAGAATCACTCATCAATTTCTGCCAATCTAATAATGTCTTCATTGCTAACAGTCTTTAAACAAATCAAACGAAGCCTATATACGTGGACATCACTAGATAGAGTACCCAGAAATCAAATGATTGTTATTTATTTAAATTTATTATAGCTCCCAACTCCAAAGAACTCTGGGTGGCATTCAAAACCAAAACAAAGAATTTCATAAAAACAAGTAAGTCCTAAAACCACATAGACAGCCTGTTCCATAGACTAAAATGATCTAAAAATGACCCAAACAAAACAAAACAGGGGCCCTGGAAATACAACAATACATTAATCCCAAGCCTGGAACCAAAGGCAGATTTTAAGAGCTTTCTGGAACCCTAGGAGAAAGGGTGCTGTCCAGAGAGTGGGGGCCACAACAGAGAAGGCACACTTCCTTGGTCCCTCAAGATGACAATGTTTAATAGAGGGGACTTGGAGTGCACTGCCCCTTAAATTGGCTATATAATTAGTAGAACGAAGTGGAAGAGCTCAGTTATAACAGTAAAGACGTAGTCAGGGGCTCACTGTGAAAAAGATCACAAATTACTCATGTGCGCGTTACAAGTTAAGCTAAAGTGGAAGAAGAAAGCCAACCAATTTCCATGATATGATCTTCAGCATATACCCACCATTTTCCTGGAGAACATTTGGAATTATTTTGAAGTCCTGAACCTCATTGATTGAGAACCAGAGAAACTGTGGAATGGACTTAAAGAAGTTGTTTAGGATGAATGTGAAAAGAGACTGCCAAAGGTCAAGAAAGAGAAGAAAGCAAACTGGATGTCAGAATTAAACTCTGGAAATTGCCGAGAAGAGAAGCCAAAGCCAAGAAAGACTAAGATCTCAGGAAAGAACCTAACAAAGAATTTCAGAGAGCTATTAGAAGAAACAAGAAGCAGTATTACAACATTTGTAAAGAGACTGAAGAAGGAAACAGACATGGAAAACAAGAAAAGTCTTCCAAAAGATCTCTGAATTCTGAAAAAACTTCCAATTTCTTAAATTGGAATGCTAAAAGATGCCAATGGACAAATGGTAACTGATTTTGAGAAGATCAAATAAAGATGGAAGGACTATACTGACATTCTGCATCACAGAAGTCAGCATCCAAGATATCTTAGAAGATATTCTCTATTTACAAGAACCTTTAGTACTAAAAAATGAAGTTAGATCAGCACTCTGGTCATTACCAAGTTGGAAAACTACAGGAATTGATAGAATACCTAAAGAAATATGTGGAATATATATTGTGGAAAGCTGGATTGGAAGAAGATGAGTGGGGTTTAAAAATTGGAGGAAGAAATATCAATAACCTGCACTATGTTGATAATATTACCCTGATAGCTGAAAGTGCAAATGATCTGCAAATTCTAGTAATGAAAGACAGGGAGCACAGTTAAAAATGGGACTAAGAAATCATGGCTAAAATGTGATGTGAAAAACAGGTCAATGTATTCATATTACTAGTAGCAATTTATACTGATACTGTCTTCTAAATTTTGCTAAATCAGTAATTCCTGATATGGATTATGGAACCATAGTCTTGATTTGGCCTTGCTCTTCTAAAAGGATACTAGTTTAGGAATTTAGGAAGGTGCTAAATAATTTGTTATCTAGCCCAGAAATTATATATTACTGGCAGTAATTCAGTCTTTAGCAGAGATTTTTCCTAGAGATGCTGGGGATTAAACCTGGATCTGTTTTATTTATTAAGTTACTTATTTAGATTTTGTTTCCCCATCCTCCACCCCGATGGAAACCAGACAGCGTATCTGGAATCCCCAAGGGTCCTCTGGTCCAATTGTGGACAGGCTGCAAAGTGGCTCTACCATCTGAGCTCAGGCCCTGTCCAGTTTGCCTGGAAAGCAGGTGCTTTACTCAGTGATATGGCCTCTGCATATTGCAAGTCGAGTGCTTTGCATCCTTGAAATGCTATACTGTACCAGTTATTACTACAGTTCTATTATCTCCCACTGTTTCCTTTCTGCCAGCTCCGGGGGACACAAGGTAGAGCTAGAGGTGGGTGGCTTTAAAGAGGGCTTCTGGGAGGCAGGGTGTATCTTGCTGTTGCCACTGCCCAATCCCTGAGCCAGGGAAGGAGGGTCTCATGAATATGAAAAGCATCTGCGCTTCTCCCCCCGCCCCCCGCTCCCTTTCTTCTCTCCTCCTAGTCTCCTGGCCATGAAGGCAGCAGCAGAGCAGCTGAGAGCAGGATGCTGCAAACCCACAGGAAGCTCTTCCTGAGGACCTTAAAGATGTTGCCCAGCTAAAGAGATGGCAGGCATTCAGGTAAGGCAGAATTTGAGATAACTTGGCTATTTATGGCTCGTGGGGAAGAGGAGCTGGGGGAACTTGCCTTCGGAGGGACTGGTCAGAAATTGCTTTGCCCCAGGCTCAGTTGGGATTCCTAGACAATGGTTGTACACTGTGCTAAGCTTGTCTGGAGGATGCAGGGCTAGGGAAGCAAGTGGGCCTTGCTGGGGGATGCAGGAATCTTTTCCTCTCTACCTTTCCACATCACATGCCATAAGGACTGGATTCCCCACGAACGAACGGAAGAAAGGGCAGCTGTAGCTGAGCTTCTTTGTATTGCTGGAGGAAATGGATGTTGCCGCTAGCTAGCCGCTGCTGCTGCTTCCGTCTGTCTTTTGTTTGGGGATTTGTCTCTGTTCTCCCTCCACAGCAAACCCCCCCCCCGCCCTCTTGTGCAAAGATCAAATTTCCCTCAGTTCATGGCTTTGATTTCATTCATTTCTCTCTCCTCTTGGCTCTGGGTCAACAGCCTTGTGGAATTTGGAGGCTAAACAGGGTCGCATGGCTCTGTAACAGCAGCATACAAATTAAAATTGATAGTTGAATTTTAAAAAAGCACAACTTTTTTATGATGCAAAAGTCAAATAGACGGATTGCTCACCGCTAGATATGCATAGTTCTCTGTTGCTGGGGAAGGGGGCAGGAGAATGAAAAGAGCTATTCTTTTTCTTGTTTATCAGTGTCATAGGAATGATTGAACCAGAGATCTGGATGAAGCCGGGGAGGGAGCCAACTTTGTGCCATTTGTTGTGCAGAGCTTGCCTGGGTTGCTGCTAACCTCCCAATGAAACGCAACATAAGGTGGCACTCTGCACGATGATTTGTGCTGGGAGACACATGTATTCTCTGGAGATGTGATGCCCTGGAATAAAAAGTTACCCTTTGTTTTGTTTTTAATCTGTGTATTAGAGATTAAATGGGCATTTAATTGCACTTTACCACTTAAAGAAAACGGGTTGCCGGATTTTGGGAAAGAAAAGAGAATGGGAAAACATAACCATCAACCTCCATAGCCTTTCTCACAGGCTGCGTTTAGCTTGGTGGGGCCAAAGTTATGCAAAACTGCTCTATAGTCTTTTCTCTTTCTACCCTCCTCTCTAAACCATGTGCTATAATTCATATTTGTGTATTTATTGATCTCATTGGGATCCACCTTTTGTCTTATTCGACAAACCATGATTAGGCAAACCATGACTTAGTATGATATGTGAATCCACTCACTTTCTCTTTTGAAAGAAATGCTGCTTCTTGAAGGGCACACATTAGATTCATGTAAGATTCTTCATGCTAACTCCCTAGCATCTTCAGGTAGGACTGAGAATGGTTCTAGGCTGAATCTCCTACCTGATGCCCTCTCCACACGTGCTGGTCTGCAACTAATGCTGTCTGAGGGTGATGGGAGTTTTAGTGCAACACAAGTGGAAGACATCAAGTTGGAGAAGGCACTGCAGCTAATACCAAGTGGCCAATGACCTGATGTGATATAAGGCAGCTTATTATTTTGGTATGAACCTAGTGCATTTCCTTATATCAAGAAAAGGAAGCATAAAATAATTTAATACGATTGTCCTCATCTCCCTTCTAGCCCAGAACTGATGGCTGATTCACTGGAGGCATCTTTCATTCAATGCTCTATCGCTGATTCTCTCACTCAGCTATTCAGAAGAATTTAATAGAAAATTCACGTAACGTGCTTCTCTAGAATCTGGGGATTATAGAATAAATATTATGTTTGGAGCTGAATTGAGTCTGGTGATTCATTTATTAATATGCATTGCCTTCTCTACCACCTCATTGCAGTTTTGCTCTAAACATCATTAAAACATTAAATAGGGCAGGTAAGGATAGAAATAATCTGTTTTCTGTGAGGAAAGATAGATATGGATCTTTGAATATTATTGGTCTAATTTGTATAATATTTAAATCTATGTGATATCTTTGTCAAATCCGAAATTGCTAAGGAAAAAACTGAGCGCCAGTTTGGTGTAGTGGTTAAGGTACCAGGCTAGAAACCAAGAGACTGTGAGTCCTAGTCCCACCTTAGGCACAAAGCAAGCTGGGTGACCTTGGGCCAGTCATTCTCTCTCAGCCCTAGGAAGGAGGCCATGGCAAACTACTTCTGAAATCTTGCCAAGAAAACTGCAGGGACTCATCCAGGCAATCACCAGGAGTCAACAGTGACTCAAAGGCACCAAAAAAAAAAAAAGGAAGAAATTGGCTCTGTAAGCTAATAATTAAGAACCTCTGTTTATTATAAAAATTTCATGTGGTGAGTCCAACCCTCTTTTAATTTTTCTACATTTTTCCCAACAAAAAGAAAGTTTGTCCCATTTATGGTCCTTGCTTAAGGATTATGTCATGTTATTCACATTCAATCTCCTCTCCCATTTCTCAGGTACATGGTCTTTACTTTGCAACATACCATCTTCCCTGGAGCTTCATATGAACTGTGCATGTCCCTTCCATTAACTGAATCTACTTTTCATTTCCTTCAGACCTCTTGAACTAATAGACAATATTGCAATCCTGACTTATCACCTGAGCAGTTAAAATAGATATGTATACTCTGTGATATCACAGCAATTTAGTTAGTGTCTTAGGAGATACTTACTTGGTCTTGGTTTATCACAGAAACTAATCAGGGTTGGATCTAGTGGTTAGTACTTGGGTGGGAAACCACCAGTGAAGACCAGACTTTATGATATACTGGGAAATAAACCCACACATACACATACAAAAGAGTAAATTGCAAACCAATTTTGTATTGTTGCCATGGACACATCCATATAAAGACATCAGGAATTGAACTCAACTCAAAGATTTGACTTTTGGCAACTGATTTTCTATGATTAGAATCATATAGTAGAGCTCTCTTTGTGCTAATTCAGAATGTAAGAGGATTGAAAGCTTCTACCAGCAGAAAACAATTATGTTGGCTAGCTATTTCTTGGTGCAGTCTTCTCTTTCAAATGCCCTTGCTTGCTCTGTGTCCTTTTTTAGAGATGTCTCCTCTAAGCTCATTTAAAGTTTATTTTTTTATTTGTTACCCCCATTGCCCACTTTCCTTAGGTTGACTCCTCCTACATTAACTGTTGAAAGTACCCTCTGAAGACATTGTATTGGATACATTTAATTATCTGCATTAATTGGGTTTTCTGATGAAATGTATCCAGTGGCTTTGTTGCTTTGGAACAATGTGGGTGCCACTCACAGTTGCCCTTTCTAAACCAATCAGAGCCTTATCCAGACTTTTACCTTCAGTTTCATAGTTGACCTGTATTCAGCTCCGTGTGCTGATGTACAGGTAGTCCCCAGTTTAAGAATGAATTTGGTTCCCAAGGTCTGTCCTTAAACTGAATTTGTATGTAAGCCAGAACAGTATTATTGTATAATACTGTATGAGCTGTATTGTGTAATTAACTTGACCCATTGTGTATTTAACTCAAATCATTGTGTATTTCACTCAAATTTTGTCACAATGGGTTCTATTCTTAACTATGAGTTATCCTTAATCCGGGGACTACCTGTATTTCTTCCTGGTCCAGCCATGCTGGGACCTTTCATGATGCCAAAAAACTAATTTCCCTCTCTCTCTCCCTTAAGGTAACCAAGTTTCCATAGTTCAACAGTTCCTTGCTGTTTTAGGTTTCTAGGAGAAGATCTCTGTCCTTTAAGGATGGGATTGCTGCATTTGATTTTTATTTGTCTGATGTATGGAGGATAAGGACTAACAGCTTCTTACTGTCATGGTAGCTAAATAAAGGCTCCATGTCCAGAGATATTATATCTCTGATTATTCATTATTCATTCTTGGGTATTAAACATCATTGAAAATCCAGCATCTTCCTTTCTTGTTCAGGAAATTCCAGGCAGCTGCTTTGGAAATGGAATATTGCTCTAGACCTCATCCTACAACATGTCCTAACAGTAATGTTTTAAATCTTGGAGCCTAATTTCTGGCTGTTTTAGAATACATACATATTTCAGGGTTGAATTTCAATTGTTTGCTTGTTTTTAACTTTCTGGGAATGAAAGATTTATGGGAATCAGAAGGGGATAGAAGATAGGTGCTAGTGTCACAACAGAGAAAGATTCGTGACAAGGCAAGATACATTGTTCAAAAAAGCATTTTCGAAATGCTGGAACCTGCCTTCTTGAGTTTATTTTGTTGATTGCAAATACTCGTAAATCACTTTACATTCTGTAGCTTTAGAGGACTCTGGAGGAAGCGGTTTATTTAGACCCCTTTCAGTCCAGTTTCAGACCTTGGTACAGGACCAAGCGGGCAGGTGTAGTATGCCCATCCTCAGTGTTGACCTCTCAGCGGCTTCTGATACCATCAATCATGGTATCCTTCTGGACTGATTTTGGGGGTTGGGAGTTGGGTGTACAGTGTTACGCTGGTTCTCCTCCTTCCTCCAGAGTCAGTTCCAGTCAATGTTGATGGGGCAGGGCTCTAGTCCCCAGTCCTTGCTTTGCAGGGTGCCTCAGAGCTTGGTGCTTTCCCCACTCCTATTTAACATCTACATGAAGCTGCTTTCTGTGAAGGTTTTATCTCAGTGTCTGGAGGTTATAGGGGTCTGGAAGGGGAAAAACAGGCTTCAGCTTAACCCTAGCAAGATTAAGTGGCTTTGTCTTTTAGGGCCCCCTTCATCTGAACATTTGCCATCTCTTCTTCTGGGTGGGGTTGCACTGCCCCAAGCAGAACTGATGTGCAACCTGCAGGTCCTCCTGGACTTGCAGCTTCTGTTCAAGGAACAGGTGGCAGCCAGGACCAGGAGGGTTTTTGCACAATTTCATTTTACACATTGGTTGTTCCCTTTCCTGGACCAGGAGGCTCTGCCCACAGTCACTCACACCTTAGTCACCTCCTAGATGGATTACTATAATGTGCTGTAGATGGGGCTTCCTTTGAAGGGCATCTGGAAGCTACAGCTGGTGCAGAATGCAGTGGTGCAGGCAATTATGAAGGCATCTTGGTGTGCGCATGTTACACTTCTGTCAATGAACTGCATTGGTTGGAAGTGTGCTTTCAGGTGCAATTCAAGATGTTGGTTGCTAACTAGAAAGCTGTCTATGGCATAGGGCAGGGTTATTTATGGGACCTCTTCTCCCCAGTTGTTTCTATTCATCCTATTAGATCCAGCAGGAGAGGCATACTGTGGGTCCCATGGGTCAAAGAATGTCATCTTGCGGGACTCAAGGAGTGGGCTTTTCTGGTTGCTGCCACTGACTTATGGAACACAATTCCCTCTGAGATTAGATTGGCCCAACCCTGCTGGATTTTGGAAGGCCCTTAAGGCATGGTTATGTTCCGGACACAGGGGTCAGAGTGTAAGTGAGAGTTTGTTATTTGTTATTTGGATTAGTTTGGTTTTTCAGCTGCTGTGTGTGCTGCTGCATTTTATAATATGTTTTATATTGTTTTACCCACTCTAAGCCACCTAGAATCACTATATGAAATGGGTGGCTCTATCAATAGAATAAATCAATAAATTCAAATGCAGTATGTGCAAAATATGTTTTGCACATTTTATGTTTTATAAAAAGCATAAAAGCACAAGTAGAAAATAGTTGGAACCATATCATCAGAACTATTAAGTTCAGCAAGCATTAAAAGCTTTCAACCATCAGATTCCAATTTGTCTTCCAAGAAATAAGTATAAGAGGCTTCCTTGTACCATGTTAGGTCATGGTCCATCTCTCCCACTTATTTCAGCCTGGAGTTTTCTTAATCCTGCCTGGAGGTGCTGCAGATTGAATTTAGGACCTTTTGCATCTAAAGTATGTGCTTTATGGCTGATGTACAACCGTTTCATTCAGGAGCTTTCTTTGTTATTAGTCAAAGATGAGTGATCCATCAGTTGGGTTCTATCACAAGAAAGAGCCTCTATTTGCTGACACTCAGAGAAAAATTTCTAATGCATGGCTTACACACTAGAGAGGTTCATATAAAGAGACAAACTTCAAGTACTCTGGTGTCACAATGTTTAGGATTAAGACAATCATAATCATTGGGTTCATACATTACACCAAGCAATGGTTTCCTTAGCCATGGTGTATTGAATAAACCACAACTGGCTTGGTTCAAAAAGTCTTGAGGCTCAGCTTCTGCAAAATGCATCTTGTTTATCCAGTAAGGAAATGCTCTGGATGAGTCTGAAAAAGCAAAAGTAGTTTCTTTGTAAATTGCACAAATACATAAAATAATGTGCCTATATGATAGCAAAGTAGCTGTAAATACTAGGGTTTTATATGACATTTCAATTTAATTTAAAAAATACTAATTTGAAAGGAATGGAAATCTATTTTGCTCTATTTTGCTTCACTCTTGCAGGACTTGATTACTGAAATAATTTGTTCTGCTCATTTCCACGCAAACTTTTCCTTGAACATGAGCAATTTGAAGGGGTTTCACACGTTCGTTGCCTTCTGCCTTATTCTACTCAACTTCGGCAGCCTGAAATGCCTTGCTTTAAGACAAGCAGAGGAAAGGCATGCAAGACAACTGCATCTGGCGTTGCCAGGAGGCGACAGCTTAGCAAATTCAAATGCATCAAATCCAGAAGGTAACGTAAGCTCGTCCATGGATACAGCCAGCGCTTCTGCATCTGAAAGCCTTTATGGAGCCTCAGTAGAGCCATCCAGGAGGTCATTAAACAGAGCCACAACTGTAAAAACAACCTTACCAACCATTATGCATGTTCACAATCCCTTGGGATACTCAAATATGGGGGCTTTTGCCAGCACAGGTCTGGAGTTTGCTGTGGAAAGTGAAAGGCAAATCAGTCTCAATGGACCCAATGAAAAACTGGATAAATATGGGACACAGGAAGCTTTGATTGCCACTGTTATGACAATTCCAGATCCTATTGTTGAAGATGATATGCTTAGTAGCTCTGCAAAAGTGACCGTGGATGGAGGTGGGGGAGAAGGAAATCTGGATGGGGATCTGTTTATACCAGGCAGTCTGGAAGGAGGAGCCCATGTTGACCCTTCAGACAATCCCCAGTTAACTATCCAAAAAATGATAAATAGTTTTCCTGCTACAGCATCACCAAGCAACCTCCTCAAAAATCCATTTCTTCCAACAGGCCAACCAGTTGATTTGGCAAAAGGATCAGATGGAAATAGCTTCCCAACAATTGGGATGGGCACAGTTGCTGCTACAGAGCCTAGGTTGCTGCCTGTAGATGCCCCCTTAAATTTGGAAGGGGAAATCTCAGAGAACCAAGGGCACTTGAAAGCTATCCTAAGCACTACCATGATGGCCACTGCAGGCTTGCCGCTAAGTGATGAGTGGGATGATACAAAATTAGAGCCTTCCAGCCAGGCGAAAGTTATGCATCCTGTGAAGATGAATCAATCTCAAATAGTGCGACCGACAGGACAGGAGGATGATGATGTGAAAAAGGTCCTGTCACCCATATTATTGGCAACCACAGCAAAAGGAAGCAAAGATAATCAGAGTGGATCAGGCCAGATACCTGTGCAGGTAGAGGAGTCAACCAATACAAGCCTGAATCTTGCCCATACCATTGATCTATCTGAGAAAGTTGGAGCCCAGTCTGTAAGTTCAATGGAAAACATAGATCCAACCATGATTAACCGGTCTAGATTGTTTCCTGAGACTATAACTACAACAGATGTGACCAAATCAGATGTCTTCCAAACCTTAAGAGACCAATTAAGAGGTAATTCTTTTTTTTTTTCTACTTTCATTTGCCAGTACTTCTTGTTTTAAAATAATTTAAGAGCATGAATCACTATTTGATTTATGGTACATATTGTGATGGTGCTATATATGATCCTTTCTTTTTCCAGGTCCCTGATCTACCTAAAATATTCAGCAGGGATTTAATCTACAAAAATACAATCTTCTGTAATATCTTTTCCCTGGCTTTGTTTCAGATGGGTACCAGAGATTTGGCCCTGGCAGTTGAGACCTTCTTTCTGCCCATAATAAGCTCTTCCCCCAGGCTTCCAAATGCAGACCCAGCAGAGTCTCAGAGTAGCTCGGAGTGGTTGAGCATGGCTTCACCCTGGGCCAGTTGCCCTTTTGATTTTTACACCTCCTTTGGCCACCCATATGATTGATTTTGCTTGATAGGCCAAATCTGTTAGGTTACATTCCAGAAGGACTCTCTTCCCCTTCAGCATACTTCTCTTTTCCATTCTATGATAAAGCAAAACCCCTACTTTAGCTTTCCTTAACCTAGTGCCCTCCAGATGATGTGACACTGCAACCCCCAAATTCTCAGCCAGCAGCCCCAAAACATCTGGAGGACCCCAAACTGGGGAAGATAACTTTGGTGACCTTTGGAATTCTTTTCCCATCAGGAGAAGACATCCAATGCATATAGATACTGAGTTATGCTAGAATAAACACACACGACCAAAGGAGAGAAGATACTTGTTCACACTTCCTAAAGTTGGGGGCTGAGAAATAAAGTACTATTTTATGTATATGCTGAGCTTGGCAAGTCAGAATGCTTAGTTTGCCTTGTTGATCATAACTCCTTAAAATGCAAGTTAAAACCATTCATTTATTATTGCCTTTGACTTCATCTTTGTTTGCTTAAGGAATCTCTGCTGTTCCCCTGCAAGAAGTTCCTGTGCTTTGATTCATTGCTGCACTTTTAAACAGAAGTTGGAACTAAATTAGGTCCAACTAATTTAGATCCTGCCTAGATAGGAAACTCTGCTTTATTTTTCTCTAGATAGGGTTTCTGTTGTTTTATTTCTTTATTTTTTGCAGGGGGTCAATCCCTGGGCTGCATGTGATCCCAACTATTTTTTTCCTCATCCTGGACAATAGCACCAAATTAGGTTTTATGGCTTTCTTCAAAGTTGCTCTTTCTGACATACTTCCTGATGCACTGAAGTCTAACTTCCATCATTCCCAACCAGTCCAGTAGTCCAGTATTTCTGGAAGGCACCAGAAGTGGAGTACTATGCATCAAAGTTCTTACCATATTCTCAAAAGAGCTTAAAATAAGCTTCAGCAGCTGCAGAGTATCCAATTAACTGAATAACCATATTGCGGGCTGCTTTGCAGTGCAATCCTATGCATGGCTATTCAGAAGAAATCTCCCTGGAAGTATTTGCTTATGTCTGAGATAAATTTCATCTGTCCTCCCATTCAATTTTGTTCGTTCTAGCATAGCTCTTCCCAAACTAGCCTTCTCCAGCTCTGTTAGGATTGCAGTTCCTTGAATTCCCAGCTAGTATGCTAAAGGAACTCCTGAATTCTGAGTTGTAGTTCTAACCCACCAGAGGATGTCAGATCTAATGATGCTGCCTGGAAAGCAGTCACAAATCACAGCAATAATATCTGAATATTCCAAAATGCAAAGAAAAAGGCAAAACATGGAATGCTGCAGTTACTTCAGCTGAGAGAAAGCTTCAGTTCTCCCTTTCAAAAAGCCAGTGATGCCATTATAACATCAGGCTAAAGTTTAAATACCTGAAATATCATTTATTGAAGAGGTAGACAATGTCTGAAGGGTCAGGGGCAATGACCCAGCCAGGTTTTTTTCCCCATGGGAATGGGAGCAGATCTCTGTGAGGCAAACTACTTCCATTCCCATTCTTGACTGCCTTCCTACGCCAAAAATATGGCCTAGATTTGCTATTTTTGCGCTTCAGTTTTGGCAGCATGATCTTGGAGCTGAGAGACTATATAAAGGATGGGTCACATGCTGGTTGTAGGCGATTCAATCTTGATTTACTAAAAAACTCACAGTTGGCTCAATTTTACACAACGCTGTAAACCCAAACCAAAAAAACCACATTATGACTTAGTGTGATATATAAACCTAGCCAATGAGTCTATCTAAGGTTAGGGTTGGGGAACTGATGTTTCTATTATTTGAAATATTTTTTCCAAATATTTTTTTCAAATTATTTTCAAAAGTTTGGAAATGTTTTAGAACTGCATTGTAAAATAACACCTTGGCAAGGATGGGGAGCAGATACTGACCTTCACTCTCTACGTTCTGGAGCAGTCCCTGTTGCTGCTCTGCTGCTACTTGGGAATTTTGGCAGACTATCTTCTGCAGCCTACTTCAGTGCTTTGATTCACTTGGATTTTTTGGCTGTTCTGTGCTGCTGCAGTGAGCTGTGGATGGGCCTGGGTCCAAGTTGGAACCACTTTAACAAAAATAATCCTAAATGAATGAATTGTTTAAAAGCATTGTGGCAGGATGATTGCCTGAGCCACCTAGGGCCCTGATGGGACATAATGATAGACATCCTCTGAATATCTCTTTGTACTCAATACTACAGAACAGACAGTGATCATTTGGATCATAAGCTATGTAGGCCTATGAAGGGAAAGAGCTTGTGCACTCTAATTCTTCTATTTCAGCAATCTGATACAGAGATAAGAATCTCTTTTAGCTACATTTTTTGCAAAACTGCAGAAGAACTTAAGAAAAGTCCTAAGTCTGAGAAGTAAAACAACATTTTCTTATGCACTTTTTCTTTAAAAGGTATTTACGGCAATGAGACGCCTCATTTATTTTATGCAAAGCAATAAGGAGTCTTGGGGCACTTTAAAAATGAACACATTTATTACAACATTAGCTTTTCTGAACTGCGTGCAGTCCATCAGATGTATGAAGTTTTATCCTGAGTTAGAATTGTTCCACAAGAGGAAGAATTATGTAAAACAGTGAGGTTATGATAAAATTAAATACAGAAAGATAATTAGGGCAATGGAGTCAGGCCTAATCCATGCTGACTGTATGGACAAATGTCTGCCATCCATATCCATTCCCAGTGAAAATATGTAACTCAGAAGTATCCCTGATCCCGTCCCTTTGCCTCATCTGTTTGCCCTCTACTTCCCTAAACCTTGGCCAACAAAGTCATTTTTTCTAGTACATCTTCTGTTTGTGTCACATGCCCAAAATATATGAGTTCCTGCTTGCTTCAAGGGACAATGACTTCTTACTTCTTCTAGGCCTAATTGTTCTTTCTTACAGTCCATCGTGCTCTTAATAATCATCTCCAAAACCAGAAGGTGTCAGTCTTCTTTCTCTTGCTCCTTTCACAGCTTTCACAGTCATATTTTACCACTGGAAAAAACACTGCTTTAACTACTCTCATAAAAATATTTTTATCCTTCAGGATTTTGTCCATCATTTCTTTCCTTTATAGGATTAATCTCTTTCCTTCTCAAGCACCCAGTCCATCTTTATTCTTCTTCTCAGTCAGCTGTCTTTTTTCTAAGCAAGCTGGTTGACATTATATTTTAATGTTTAACATTAAATATGTACTGCTGTCTTACTCCTGCTACTCTGTACTATTCTGAGTTTCTTCAAACTCAGTTTTCATGGTAGCTTTTTATTCATTGTAAAGATTCCTCAAAAGAATAATCAGCTGTTTTGTCATGCCCATTACCCTTAATGTGTTCCATATTCTGGCATGATATATATAATCAATGGTCTTCCTCTAGTCAAGAAAGGAAACTTTCTTTGTAAATTCTCTTTTTGTCACACTACCCATTTCGCGTTAGACTTTTCCAACCTGCCTGTTCATCTATGATTCTATTCTTTTTTGTAAAAATCTTAAGGATAACTTTACTTCTGTGAGTACTTAGTGCAATGATTCAGTAATCTGCACATCTTCCCTCATTTCTTCAATATATTCACCAATGGTTTCCAGTTACTAGGCCACCCAGAACTTTTAGCACTATAATTGCTTCTTTAAAATTTCAAAATTTTAAAGAGACTGATGGGTATTTCATCAGCTTTTGGTATTTTTCTGACTTATTTATTAATAAATTTAGCTGATGCATTGCCTCTCCTACCTCATTTTCTAATATATCCTCTCTCTGTAGATGTTTCCATCCTTGTAGAATTTATTCATTTCATTTATTTAAAGAAAAATGTATGTAGTCTATCCTCATGACTCTGGGCAGTTCTAAAAACACAATAAAACAGCGCCCATACAATTTCAAAACCCAATAAAAATTATGTGCATAATTCACCATGATAAAGGCAATGTACAAAGTCAGCCCAGGTCTGCCATCTGCACCAAAAGCTCATCAAAACGTCACATTAGCCTTATGAAAGGCAAGCAGGGTAAGAGCCCTTCGATCCTTAGGGGCAGGTTATTCCAAAGTGTGGGAGTCGCCACCTTCAGGCCCTCATCCCCTTTGCCTCACATATAGGGTGAGGGACATTCAATATCCTCTTTTTGGATGGGCTAAATCTAAATCTGGATGGGAAACATTGTCCTACAGATACACAAGGACCTGGCCTTTATAGGTAAGAACCAGCACTTTGAACTGGGTGAAGAATCTACTGGTAACCAATTCAGTGACTGAAGCTGTAACATTGCTGAACTTTCTCCCTCCTATTCACTCTCTGGCTGCTGCATTTAGAACCAAATAAAGTTCCTGAGTTGGGCAGATGCTATGAGTGTATAGCAACAATCTAGCTGCATAGTAATGAGAGCATGACACACTGTTGTTAGGGCTTCCTTCCAGAAAGGCCTATAACTGGCACATCAGCCAATTTGGCTGTGGCTTTGACTTGCTGGTTAAGCAAGACCTGTAAGCCCAAGAAGACCCCCAAGTTGTAGACCTCCTCTAGGGGAATTTAACCCTGTCCAGAGTCAACCTCAGAACCAGAACTGAGCCAAATTGGTCATCTGCTAAGAGAATCTTGGCTGGGATTTAATATAAGCTTTTTTTCACTCATCCAATCTCTGCTGATCCAGCAGCCTTCAGACATTAAGTCATGATCTGTGGCCTGGCCTGAGATGACAGTGTACATTTGAATGTCATCAACACATTGATGATAGCTTACCCCAATCCAATGGTAACATAGTTTGAAGTCTTCAAGCAAAGGTTGCTGTCAAAATTTTAGCATCCACATTTAACAAAGAAGATGGATAGTAACTTGCACCTTTGGAAGGATCTTTACCCATCTTCAAAATCACTCTTATAAACCATCATTAAAAGAAGAAGGAAAAGCTTTGCACAAAAAGACATCATTGTAAACATACAACATAGGAGCAAGATTAATAAATATGTTATATTAATATGCAGGAAGAACAAATTAAATTTAAGAGTAGAAAAAGGATGACCTTATATATTTCTAACAATGTTGTGCCAAACTTTCTATTTTTAGTACATTCTGTTGGAAACCCATCTGGCCCAGGATTCTTCCTGGATTTCATAAAATAAATTATATCTGTGTAACTCTTGGGTCTGGGATTTGCAATTTGGCTGCATGGCAATTCTTCTTCCCCTGTTAACACAACTCCAGTATGTAGGCAACTGATACTACTTATTTAACACTGTCATCAACAGCAAATATTAATTAACCAGAAAATACAAATACAGGCAACATTACAAATATTCTGTAACACTCAACACGTGTTCTCAGGTTTTAGATCCTAACCATCTCACTTCGATGTAATGTTAGCACACATATTCTTATAAACAGCCATTTTCGCAATCATTCTTTAATATAGATTGCATGCTTCCTAATACATTTCTTCCAGTATTTGCATTTAAATTTTTCTTATCTTTAGTAAACATTTTGTCAAGTTGTTTCAATCTTTTTTCACACAGGACACATGCTTTCTCTTTCAATTGCCGTTATTTCTTTCTAGTTTTTTTTTCACACCTTGCCTTTTCCTCAAGATTTACTTCTGATGTTATCAAAAACTAGTATGTCCCACGGTGAAGAGACCTTCTTCTGCTTTTGCTTTGGTCCTGTCATCACCATCAGATATACCCTTGAGCATTTGATGTTTTCCCCTAGGAGCTAAAGCGGTGTTTCTCAACTTTGGCAGCTTGAAGATATGTGGACTTCAACTCCCAGAATTCCCCAGCCAGCATTTTGGGAGTTGGTCCACACATCTTCAAGCTGCCAAGGTTGAGAAACACTGAGCTAAATAAATGCCTTCTGACCTGGGCATCTCATATTCTGGCACCCAAGCTTGTGTACATGTTTGAGCTATATCCATACAGTTTTCTTGGGCATAATACAGATGTGTTTTGCCACTACATATCTTCTTCCAGGTTTGGTTTTGGCATTCTTTCTCCAGTAACAATTTCCAGGAAGAATTATATAGCAGAGATATTAACACATTAAAAAAGATAGATTTCTTGGAGATGATCTCAACTCCCAATGATTGTATGGGCATATCCATGGAGTTTTCTTGGCAGCAGTATGAATAAGGCTTGCCATTGCCATCTTTGGGATTATTTTTTTTTACTTCTCAGTCTAGCCTATAGCCCTGGGATTTCTTGGACTCTCTCATAGTACTAATAAGGTTTGACCTGGCTTAACTTTGAGGGGATTAGTCCAGAATTGCTGCCACCTGCTGTTCATGATTAACAAATAAAGTGTGATAAAAACCCTTTCTTTCTACTTGTCATTGTTACTATTATTATTATTGCCACCTACTCCAAAATACTCTTTTTATTATTATTGTTCAAAATACTCTTTTTATTATTATTGTTCAGAGATAACATGAAGCCATCTGCATCAGTGGGAACCTTCAACTCTCACTGCTGAACTACAACTCATATCAGCTCCAACCAACAGGGCTAATATGAAGGATGCTCAGAGTTGGTTCAGTGACATCTGGAGGGCCACAGGTTCTCCACATCTGAGTTGTGAGAACAAGCTTAGGTGACCTACAGGGTTATGCATCCCCTTTTCCTCATGCAAAGTAGGAACTTCAAAGCTTTTGCTTCTGTTTTTTCACATTTTAAATGCTGCTGTCTTAAATGTCATATATTTCATATTTTGAATTGCTTTTGCGATTATTAACTGTTATAGTGATATATGTGCATTTATATGGTTCAATTATAATGTAAGATATGTGGGGAAGACCATTTCCTTTGAAGAACAGAATATAAACAAATAAAATAAGCAAATAAGATAGTAATGCCATTTGAAAAACCATAGCTTTCATCTTCTTTTATATCCCCTTATTATGAAAGGAACAGCCTTCCATGATACTGGCACTGTGCCATCACCTGTGATCTCAGGAGGCCTACCTACTCAGAAGATTACAGGATCACAACATGGGATGAAGGAAGGAGTAGAGTTGGCAACTCAAATACCAACAGTTTCCAGCACGTCCCAACTGTTGAGAATATTAGAAAATGTTGCTGCTACAGTGTCTCCTCATTCTACCCATCTCCCAGTGAAAACGGTGGAAGTTGAAGGTTGGTTGGATTTTCCCCCCTTAATTTAATTCTGAGACAAAGCTTTGCATATAGAAGACCTCAAGTCAATCTCTGATATCTCAGCTGAATGGTTGATGGGACAGATCCTACTTTGTGAGACTTTGAAAGGTTGCTCCCAGTTCCGATAGACACTTCAGTCCGGCACTTCACATGTAGCTGAATTACTGCTCACGGTATCCCTCACCATTGGCCAAGCTGGCTGGAGCTTCTGGGAATTTTAATTTTAGTTCAATAACAATTGAAGGGCCATAGGTTGCCCAGCCTGGGCTATGCCAGGCATGGACATTCTGTAGTCCTAAGCTACATATACTGTAGCTCTTAGTCAAATTTCATTTCAGTCCTTTTGTAAGAGCTATCTTTATGTTTATTGTAACTAAATGCTTAAGAGAGAGAAAAAAAGCCAAATTTGCTAGATAGACAAATCATCTGACCTAGTGTAAGGTAATTTAGTATATTAATCACCATGAAAAAAAATGCAAGGTTTTAAAAATGGCAAATCTCATATCAGGTCACTCAAATACAAAGTTTTTCTATTGAAGTACTGTCCTAGTTAATTACCCTGTTCTTATAACCCCAATTATTAGGCAGGTGGTAAGTAGGAAAAAGTCTTTCTGTTAGCTTTTAAGCCACAATTTATACACTTTTGAAGTACTGGGAGTTTTAATTTATTAGTGCACTCTATAGTGTTTATTTCTTTTTGCATTTGTAGAATGTCTGTGTTTGCATTTTTTCTTAATTTTTGCATTTTATGGCAGTTTACTTTGCATTATAAACTATCTTGGGATATATATTCTGAAAGATAATGCTCCAAGTAAATAAATAAAATATGTTAAATAGAGTTGCAATCAACTAGATAACAAGTTTTCCTCTATCTCTAATATTAGATCCCAGGATCATCCAGTGAAAGAGATAGTTAGAGATTCAGGTTAGACTGGAAGAATTTTTTTCTTCACATAGCACATAATGAAGTGGTGGAATTATCTACCATAATATGTAAAGATATTTACCAATTCAAATAGCTTCAAAAAGTTTGGGAATCATCATTAATTCATGTGCCAAGGAACTCAACATGTATGGAATATATATTCCCACTAGTTTCCATCCACTAGGATTGACTATGGTTCTTATCTCCAGCCACTGGTTGAGGATGATGAACATTGTAGTATGTGTGAGGGACTGCAATAGTGCAGCAGGTTCTCAGGAAGGAGGGAGCACATTCTAGGAAGGGGAGCAAGACAAGAAACAACACAGTTTGGAGCAGGAGCATGGGAGGAGGAAGAGATTGAGGATAACCACTTCCTAGAATCTCCCAGGGTATATCCACTAGGTTAGAGTAGTACAGATTTAGTCTGGCAAGATTCTGTCTATATGGTGTAAGTAATAAAAGAACTGAACTTGGCTGGATTGCTTCCCTGTTGTCCTTGGGCTGGGCCTCAAGAAATATGAGACATCTTTCTTAGTCACAGCATGCAGTCTTACAGGTTTTACTTGTGATCACGATCTGTGTTTCTTGCTTGGCTTCCAGGACCTGTCACCTTCCTAGAGAATAAAGAGATCACTTCCATTGCCTATATTCCTGCAACTCTGGCTGATCTGAGAGTGCCAACTGAAATGACTGTTGGCACAACTGACACGATGACAGCTCTGCCTTCTTTGGTATCTTCTACAAGGCAAACCACAGTTCCAGCTGCCCACCGACTTACCACAGTTTCAACTTATGGGCTGGAGAGGTTGGAATCAGAAGGTACATAAGTAAGATGATTTGGACAGGGCTCTTTTCTCCTACCCCACATTAGGGATTGAATGTGAGAGTGTAAATATCCAAATATTATTTTATAACTTTTACAGTGAAGCTTAAACTATAGAATAATAGTAGAGCTAAGAATTTGAGACTGGTTCTTCATCTTGTTTCAAATTATCTGTAGGAGGGACAACAACTTAGAGGGGCATATGCTCTGGACTCTTCACTTGAAAGAGACTGTATAAAAAATAATGGGATAAAATTCTGCCAGTGATTTTGAAGAGAGTCATTGCTTCTCTGACTAGACAGTACAGAACTAGATGGATAAATGGAGTAAGGCAGTGGTAGGGAATCTGTGGCCTTTGGGTACAAATGTGTCCGTGGACATCTCATTGTGCATTATGAGCTTAAGGTGTATCTATATTCTTTATTCTTCATTCACACAACTCTCTGTGGGTCTCATACTATGGGTTCATCAGTTAGCCCAATACCTAGGAACACCCCTTTTGATTTCTCATGTTTAGTAGCTTGAGTCTATCGGTTTACCCTCCAGAAAAGTATCAATGTTTGCCAAGATATCCTAGGAGTGCCTCTATCAATATTAGCCCTGAGACATCACCAGAAAATCTCCATTAAGATTCACCACAAGGAATTCTGTATTTATTTGATTGCTTGCTAGATATATCTCTGAGCCAGTTTGGTCTAGTAGGGTGCTGGACTAGGAAAGGGGTGACCTAAATTCTAAACTTGCCTTAAGCATAGAATCCAACTGGGTGGCTTTGGACTATGTAGTCACTTTCTCTCAGCCTAGGAAGAAGGGAATGGCAAATTAGTTTTGAAAATGTTGCCTAGAAAATTGCATGAGCTTGTCCATGTAGTTGCAAGGAGTCAAGACTGACTTAAAGGCAAATCTCTCTCTCTCCTTGGTCCTAAGATATTCTTTTATTGCTCACCAGAACTACTTTTACCAAATTTAACCTCAAGATTTCCTAGGAATACTGCTACCAAGCTATCTCAAGAACAGCTGATATTCAAAATATTCAAATATTCTCTATCCAGCATGACCATGCCACAAATACTTAGATTCAACTCTTTTATGTTCTTTGAGTAAACTATAGACATATGGATTAAAAATTAGACCAGATTTCACCCTACATTATTTCTTTATCCAGGGTTACAAGATTCAGCATCCTAAGCTCAAGATGAAGAAGAAAAAAAGGGAAGTAGTGGAGGAAAAGAAGGGAGCTGGACATGGGGAAATCTTAAGGTGTTTCTATGGTGGAGTAGCTTCATTTTTGTTTTTGGGTTTTTTTTTAATCTGCACTCAATCGTTACCGATTCTGCAGCGACTGCCTGGACGAGTCCCTGCAGTTTTCAAGGC